GTCGTAAGAGTTTTACACGGCACTTGCAACACAATAAGGTCATGATATAAGTGCCGAAGAATAGATGCGTTACAAGAAAGTAACAAACACAAACAAGGAGGAGAGATCGGAAAGGACGACAGATGTTTGATAGGAAAGAAAGAGCAAACCACACCAGAACACCCGCCAACCACCCACTTTGTCTGTTTGTTAGGGTAAAGAGAAGTCCATCGCCACATTTCTGGTCATATGCTTTGCTTGTTTTGTGTTTTAGTAAGATTTTTACGGCACTTGCAACCGCATAAGGTCATATGAGCGCCAAGGGGTGGATGTCAAAAGGGAAATCTAAATTGGGAATCAGGCTTACTCTGCTCACCTCTCTAGCCTCAACAGCACAAAGTCTGCTTCGACTATCAAGGCACCCCCGAAATAGCAGTTCACATGAGAGTGATAAACATACACAAAAAGTAGAGGAAAAATGACGATAGTAAAGATGAAGAAAGAAAAAGCAGCAGTTCGACCATGTTGTTTCGGCACAGTATGAGCATGACATTGATAAATCAGCCCATTAACAATTCTACTGTGCATAAGAACATGTTAATATCCCCTCTTTGGGAATAGCCTAAAGACACTTCAGTCCGTAGCACTGCCCTGGGGGAGGGGCTTGGTCGGTTTGTTGGAGTAAAGAGAAGCACACATAGACACATTTATGGTCGGTCATATGATGGAGCAGTGGAAAAGTTAAAACTGTTTGTACGTTTGTTGGTTGGTTGGTTGGTTTGTGTAAAGAGAAGCACACATCGACACATTTATGGTCGGTCATATGGAGAAGTGAAAAAGTTAAAACTGTACCTTGTTGGTTGTACTGTACTGTAGTATAGGCTCGCAACTGTTAAGGTCATATGAGCGCGCGAAACACAAGTTGTTTACTTTCGCAAAAGTTCACAGCACGATTGGTTAACTAATTTGACTTTAAAATGCTAAAATGTTAAAATATTAAAAATGGCCGGTCATATGGAACGGTGGAAAAGTTAAAACTGTTTGTACGTTTGTTGGTTGGTTGGTTGGTTTGTTTGTTTGAGTAAAGAGAAGCACATCGTCACATTTATGTTCACATGGAGCAGGGGGAAAAGTAAGACATGTCTGTTTGTTTGTTTGTCTGTTTGTTTGTTTGTCTGTTTGTTTGTTTGAGTAAAGAGAAGCACATCGTCAAATTTAGGGTCAGTCTGTGACAGGTTGACGCCTTGAACGGTGTCATAATATTTTTTCCTAAACAGCAGAAGAGGACGAGGGATGTGGTCGCTTGTACAACTGACTGTCTTGGGAAAGTGGCAGTTAAAGTAGGTTAGACTGTATATTTTTAAAATATTAACTGATTCCGTCCATGATTTTTTCAGGCTCTGGACAGAATTATTTTTCCCTGTTCAGTTTTAGACCTGGGGTGCATCTATTTAATGCATTACTGTGAAGCTCTAAGTTACTCTAATATGTATTGTCATATACCAAACTGATGGGAATCAATAGAAGAATCTGTTTATATGAATAACAATGACCTATAGTCTGTTCGTATTGCATTTTCCTTCAGACAAAAATGAATGGGGAAAAAAAATTGTGCAACAGCTCTTCGAAAATTTCGACTTACCGCATTTTCTCAGCTCTACACGTCCTTACAATCCATGGGGATCACCACAAAATTGTAGCGATATCACCCTAGGACACATTTATGCAAGAATTTCACAAATTTAGTGGAATATCTTTCTTTAAAGGGCCTTTTTATTATACCAGGCTACGTGTTGTTTACCCTTAGATCTAGCCTGCATAGCGACAACAAAACAACGATTTTTGCAAGAATTTTGCGGAGTTTCGATCGATATTGGTGTTCAGAGCTCAGAGCTGCTGTCAGCGGCCGAATGGACGGAATCAGTTAACTCATTGAGGACACACGTTCTGGTCATTCGACAATGGTAAAAGACACATGTTGCTTTGGAGCGTAGCATTCATACAGATTCTTAAATTCTGTTTTCCTCATCTGAAACCTCAAAGCACATGCAACAACATGTATAAGTATTCTACGAAATATTATACAAATTCCTGTATCTGATTCAAATACCACGGCTTGAAACGTGCCGCAACATTGCCTGTGGATGCTGTATGAGTCTGATAGGTCCTTAAAGAGTTAATAAACCGTATTCCCAAATACATCAATAAAGAAATTAATTTTCATTTAAACACATTTTTTTTTTAGGATGACATTCATTGCACTCACTTAACAATGGGTTCTTGTATTCCCCGGTGGTGGCAAAAATACTCTTCGCCTTGCCCTGTTCCTTCGTGCCCCTGTTGGGAAAAGAAAGAGTCATTATTCTTTACAAAAACTTGTGTGTGTGTGTGCGTGTGTGTGTGTGTGTGTGTGTGTGTGTGTGTGTGTGTGTGTGTGTGTGTGTGTGTGTGTGTCTGTGTGTGTGTCTCCTTGCACGTTATATATATGCAAAGAAAATACTCACGTCTTGTGTTTTTGCGGCTTTTGTAGACTTATTCAGTGTCGAAATGAAAGTGAAAGAACGGCTGTTGATTTTATATGATAAAATTTAAAAAATATCTCGGTCACAGCGCGGGTGATCTTCGCAGCTGTCTGTCTGCTCTGGGTGTTATAACGTACGTGCCAAATAAAAAATCATATTTATAATAATAATATATAAAAATGTCGAATTTATAAATAGCGTTAGGGGGAATTCAGGGGGAAGAAACCACACTGAGTCAAGCACACAGAAAGAAAACTGGGCGGGCGAAAAGAAG